TTAGGCTTGGACCGGCTTGGACTGCCAGTCCCTGTGGACCGGCAAATAACATACCTTATAAATCTTTGTTGAACATCAGCAATATTCATATAAGCATATTTTTGCACCAAGTCAGCTTGTCTGTTATAGTCAAGGTTTCCCCTTTGTCTATTTTTAGAGCAAGGAAATAACATTTTGCTTTACTTTGAGCAGAGACCATATATCGGTATATGGTCTCTGCTTTGAGGTTAAACACATATTTTTAGCAATTTATGCCCCGTTCACATGCGCCTCTATACATATGTGTGTATATTTGCATACATTTGCATCATGTCTGGAGCAGATCCAAAGGTAAATGTAAATTTGCACTGTGTGTATATGTTGCAATGTGAACGTTTGTGCCAATGTCAGCGGACGATCAAATTAATATACTCACGACCAAAAGAAACGTGAACCATAGAATCATATAGAGAAGTATGTACGTCAAGAAGAGATGTTTCTAATGTGTACCACTTAATGACAAATCTAACAAATCAAATCAGTCAAATGTTACCACAAAGTATCTTTATCTTTATCACGATATGCTGCACTTGTTTCCAAACATTACACGCTAATCCTGCAAAAGACAAATGGTGCATCGCAAGTAATGGATCTATGACGTCACTTGTGATGCTTTCATGCGCATCGGTTCACACAGCATACCAGTATATTCGTTTGTGCATCGAACCCATCTAATATTTTTTGAATATGAGTAATTCTTCATACATAAACCAACATGTCCAGTAGTCGCGTTTCTGTTGTTGGTGAGTATATATTTGTTGATTTGCCCACACCAAACAAATTGTAAACAGTTCTGTATTCTGAAGTTGCCAACTTTTATGAGTTGGGCGGATGGTGTTTTCCTTTTTGTTTCAAGTAGTCAAAACTGTGTGTACAATTTAAATCAAAAACATGTTGCTTCATGTGAAGATTTTCGGTGAAGTAACTCTCATCTCATTCAACTTTGATCGGAAAACAACCTGTCATATGTTTTAAGTCATGAACAGACTGACGAATGTGTGCTTTACACCATTTACATACTTTATTTACACACTAAGATGCTTTTCATGTGAACGCATAGTATATGCACAATTACACACGTATGTATAGCTGCACGTGCAAAATGACTAACGTGAGTAAATGTTGCGCACGTGAACGGGGTATTATACCCCGTTCACATGCACCTCTATACATAGAAATACATACGTGAGTATACTTGTCATGTAAACACGTTTACTCGTGTGTATATTTACACCAGGAGCAAATTTGCATCAAGTCTGGAGCAGGTGCAAATGTAAATTTGCACCGTGTGTATATGTTGCAATGTGAACATTTATGTCAATGTAAGACGATGATCTGATTGATATCTGTTCTTTTGTCAACACCAAACAAATTGTCAACAATTGCCAACTTTTAGAGTTGAGTGGATAGTGTTTTCTTTTGGTTTCAAGGACTCAAAACTTTGTGTACAAATTAAAACAGATGTTGCTTCACGGGTAAATTTTCGGTGAAGTAACTCTCATCTCATTCAACTTTGATTGGAAAACAACCTGTTATATGTTTTAAGTCGTGAACAGCCTGACGAATATGTGTGCCTTACACAATTTACATACTTTATTTACACACCTAAGATGTTTTTCATGTGAACGCATTGTAAATTTACATATACACACGTATGTATAGTTACACATGTGTAAAATGACTAATGTGCGTAAAAGCTGTGCATGTGAACAGTGTATTAGTCTTAGTCTCGGAATATTAAACAGAAAAGAGAAAATTGTGACTGTATTTTTGTGTGAATGACACGTTGATCTAACTAAAAAACTTCAGAGATGACGTCAGTGCACTGAACATGATGTTGAAAGAATTATAACCAGATCAGTTTTTTTGCTGAAGTTGGGACTGACAAAAATAAGGGTAGGGGTGGGGGGAGGAGGAGGAGAGAACTGGTAATTGTTTCCACTAAGACTGGCAGTACAAAGCCAGTGGGAACACTGTTGATTGGTACACAAAAGCAGAGATATCTCCGACACCAACTTGTGAACCAGTTTGAAAGAGTGTAGCTACAGATGCTGTCACAATTTAACAGTCTTTGTCATAACCCTAATGTTGAAAAATATAGAATTAGCATGTATACTTGGGTCCTATTATTTGAGTAGTAAGAAGTACGTCCGGTCACCTCACTCATAACCCTTGTATTATGTATTACCGTATTCGACGCAATAAGCGCCCACAGCGATATTTGCTAATATATTGGCTTGTGAACAATCCCAATTAGCACCCCTTCCGATTGATCAATGTACACAAGACTTATTTATTCGTTTATAATATGCACTCATGCATGTGTTATATGCACCCTTAATTATGGGCAATTAAATTCTGGATAAATATATCTGTCGTGTATAATACACACAGACTTCTATTTTGTATCATTTCAGGCTGTCAGCACAACCCACGAAATTTACAATCTTTCAACTCTGGTTTTTTTTCTCCAAAATTTTATTTTAATAAGAGCCCCCTATTTCAAATTTTGAGAGCGCCCTGGGTGCTTATTACGTCGAATATGGTAATGTGCCACTGTGATCATGAGGACAGACAAAATGCGCCGTTTCGATACTAAAAAGGTTAGATTTTAAGGTGTGTAAGAAACAGATAACTGCACTTGTGCCTGTCAGATATAATTTATCTTACAACTCGTTGTTTCAAATCTTATCTTGCCTTCACACATTTGATATGTTTTGAAACAACTCAATGGAAGATAAAAGGTATCTGACAGACACTCGTGTAGTAACCTCTGTTTAACATCCTATGGTATGACATCACCAGGGTATCAAACCACGGACCATTCGCTCTCCAGGCAGATGCTCTATCCACTACACCATGTAATAGTTTAAATATGATGATGATGATTAAGTTACATCAATTCAAATAATTATTATTCAACATACTCAAATCATTGTGTACATAATTTTGACACCTAATTTACACTGTCATCCAATCAAAAGACAGAAAATTCCCCCAGGGGTATATATAGAGAATACCACACCTATACTATTGAGGAGGAATATCAGGTATGAAGTCGCTAACATCTGTCATAAAATAAAAGTTACAGAACCCTTTTCATAATCATTGAAATATAAGTGCCTGATGGTGCATACCAACTGTGAAGGTCAAATTTCAGCAAAATGCCCTCACTGTACAACTCGTGTTATTCTGGGATAAGCTGAATAGCAATCGTGCCTCTCTCATAGACATTTTCGCGACCGGGTTCTGTCTTAGCGCAAACAGGCATCCCTAAAACAATTGTCAACTCGTTGCGTAATGGTTCACATATATTTCCTCATATATTATATATATTCCAGATCCAATTTAAAGCACATCAGGACGTGCAGAATTATACAGTATAATTGAACACATTTAACTGTGTCTTGGGTATATTTTTTGATGCAAGACACATGTAAAATCAAATATTACTTCTCAGGGATTATTTGATGAAGAACTTGAAATCATAAGCGCATTCTGATTTGTTTGCCGCATTGTTGCACATAACATTCATTGATAGGGGGACGAGTCTTCTTGCAGGTTGCGAGTGGTGATGAATGCCACTTTCATTGTGGAACTAAATGATTTTCAGGGAGCTTCAGTCAACTTGTTCAACTCAGTGGTAATACATGCAGCCGATGTTTATCGTTATCTTCGAAATAAAATACTTGAATATTATTGGTGAAATGGTGTTTTCATTAACTTCATTGTACCCCGCTACAGCAAAGTACAACTGGAATGAATTGTAGTAACTAAGTCGTCACGACATCCAACATTTTCAATGTGAACTGCACTGTGGGCCGCTAACTTAAAGTCCAACTGAATGGTGTTGGGATTTGACGTCAAGTTCAACTGGTTCGCTATGTCACACAAGTACTCTACAGTCTTAACACAGGTGTCGTCGGTTTTGTTCATCCAGAAACAGTAGACCAAAGCCAATGTGAGTAAGAGATCTAATCACAAACTCACTAACTCTTTTCCACAGTTGAACACTATGCGCAAATATATTTTTACGCATTTTAGGTTTGAAATTATCCTGCATATTTTATTGGAAACAATAAAAATTGACTTAAAATAATTGAAAAATGTACTCTCCTGGTAGGACGAGCATTCGTTCAATTCTTTCTCGCCCTACACATGCTGCCACTCGTCAATACGAGCGGAAGAGTGGACTGTTAGAGCCCTGCTAGTAAAATTTGAAATGTTTCATTCCCGAGCCAACACCGAATCAATGATGAAAAGATCTGGGCATGTCTAAGGGAAACAACTCTGTTCAGCAAACTGCAGAGTCAGCCCTCAGTGATCAAGACATAAGGTGATTCACTGTCTGTGCGTACATACGTGCATGTTGGTGGTCTTTGACTTTACTCCCTACATTCAAACACTGAGTCAGACTCTAAGTGCTTTCGAAATTTCAAAAAGGGGGATTTCTTGGCCATTGAGACTTGCTCCTATATTATCTTAATACAGTATTTGTCTAAGGACCCCTAAATCTTTAACTGTTAACGTTAGGCTTACTGTATTCGATGTAATAAGCACCCAGGGCGCTCTCAAAATTAGAAATAGGAGTCTCTTATTAGAATATTATTTTGGCGGAAAAAAACCAGAGTTGAAAGATCGTAAATTTCATGGATCTTGCTGACAAACTGAAATGTTTATATACGACAGATATATTTTCCAAGAAATTTAATTGCCCATAATTAAGGGTGCATATGGCACACGAGTGCGCTTTATACACGAATAAATAAGTCTTGTACATTGATCAATCGGAAGGGGTGCTAATTGGGATTGTTCACTAGCCAATATATTAGCAAATATCGCCGTGGGTGCTTGTTAGAGCGGGGCGCTCATTACGTTGATTACGGTATACTAAGGACCAATGACTTTCACGCTCAATTTCAAAGAACTGCTAATCATAAGTATGATGAAATGTTGCCTACCTGTTGCCTGAAGGTCCTGATCTTCCTGTCCATGACGTCCTTCTCATCCTGCAGCGTGCACACCTCCTCCTCCAGGTTGGCGATGCGGGTGTCGGCGACCTGGAGCAGGTCAGCCACGTACGGGTCATCCGGGGGAGGGACATTGAACCCTGAACTCTCGGCTGATGGGACGGTCAGGTCGATCTCCATACGCTGCCGACGGAATGGAATGGTCTTCTTTCTACCGCCTACAAATTGAGTTGACGTTGTTTGTGTTTACAACAATTAGTGTTCTTTGAAAGAAAAAACAAAGTCATTTGCTTTGTTTTTATTTTGTCATCAACAAGTGTTCAGTCACCTTATTTGTATTTCCAGTATCAAAGACAATTGCCAAGTCCTAGCAGATGCCACACTGCTATCTCACACCTATTGACAATGATAATCATCTTTGAAACTAGTTTTTACTCTGTCTGGTATGATTCATAAAACATTTCTTACCATTTTGTCCTTTGGCATCGCTAGCACCCTTTGGGTGTGATCATTATTAACATGTGCAACGTCAAAAGGAAAATTGCACCAAGCTCAATAGCAGGTAGCATCTTACATTATTTATATCTGCATATATATAAATGGAGTGTGTACAACATTGTGGATGTTCCAGAGAAGTATCTGGAGTTGACAACAAAAAGACACCTACCTGGAGTTTGTACATCAGCATGGTAGTTCTAGAGACACACCAGGTGTTGTACAACAACAAAAAGACACCTACCTGGAGTTTGTACAACAGCGAGGATGTTCCAGAGCAGGAAAGAAAAGACACCTACCTAGAGTTTGTGCAACAGCATGGAAGTTCTAGAGACACACTTGGAGTTTGTACAACAAAAAGACACCTACCTGGAGTTTGTACATCAGCCAAACACCTACCTGGAGTTTGTACATCAGCCAAACACCTACCTGGAGTTTGTACATCAGCCAAACACCTACCTGGAGTTTGTACATCAGCCAAACACCTACCTGGAGTTTGTACATCAGCCAAACACCTACCTGGAGTTTGTACAACAGCGTGGTAGTTCTAGATACACACCTGGAGTTTGTACAACAGCATGGTAGTTCTAGATACACACCTGGAGTTTGTACAACAGCATGGTAGTTCTAGATACACACCTGGAGTTTGTACAACAGCATGGTAGTTCTAGATACACACCTGGAGTTTGTACAACAGCATGGTAGTTCTAGATACACACCTGGAGTTTGTACAACAGCATGGTAGTTCTAGATACACACCTGGAGTTTGTACAACAGCATGGTAGTTCTAGATACACACCTGGAGTTTGTACAACAGCATGGTAGTTCTAGATACACACCTGGAGTTTGTACAACAGCATGGTAGTTCTAGATACACACCTGGAGTTTGTACAACAGCATGGTAGTTCTAGATACACACCTGGAGTTTGTACAACAGCGTGGTAGTTCTAGAGACACACCTGGAGTTGGTACAACAGCATGGGAGATCTCGAGACACACCTGGAGTTTGTACAACAGCGTGGTAGTTCTAGAGACACACCTGGAGTTGGTACAACAGCGTGGTAGTTCTAGAGACACACCTGGAGTTTGTACAACAGCATGGTAGTTCTAGAGACACACCTGGAGTTTGTACAACAGCGTGGTAGTTCTAGAGACACACCTGGAGTTTGTACAACAGCGTGGTAGTTCTAGAGACACACCTGGAGTTTGTACAACAGCGTGGTAGTTCTAGAGACACACCTGGAGTTGGTACAACAGCGTGGTAGTTCTAGAGACACACCTGGAGTTGGTACAACAACTAGGCACCTATCTGGAGTTTGTACAACAACCAAACACCTACCTGGAGTTTGTACAACAGCGTGGAAGTTCTTCTCCTGCAGACTGAGGATGCGATCTGCCTTCTCCCGAGCATCCTTCTCCAGCTGCCGAACCTTGTGCACATACTGGTTGTTGAGGAACTTCAGGTCCGCGTTCTCGTGCTCCAGCTTGCGCAGAGAGGCCTTCAGCTCTAACAACAGACATTCTCACTGTAAAACCTTGCCTTCAGCTCTAACAACAAATAGTCTCACTGTAAAACCTTGCCTTCAGCTCTAACAACAGACATTCTCACTGTAAAACCTTGCCTTCAGCTCTAACAACAGGCAGTCTCACTGTAAAACCTTGCCTTCAGCTCTAACAACAGACATTCTCACTGTAAAACCTTGCCTTCAGCTCTAACAACAGGCAGTCTCACTGTAAAAACTTGCCATCAACTCTGACAACAGAAAGTCTCACTATAGAACCTAACCAAAACGCTACAGAAACAAACCATTTCAGCTGAGCACCGCCTGAGATCTTGTGATAAGATACCAGGGCTCGAAAAATCCACTTGTCTGCTTGTATTTACGAGTTGCAGCATGTGTAGGACAAGAAATAATTGAACAAATGCTTGTCCTACCATTATGGGAGGTAACTCCATCAGTTCCTGTTCGGTTGTAGTAGCATATTGGGATGATTTAAATATCGTCTGTACCTAAGTATCGATGACACCATAGGCATCAGTGAATCGTTACTGCCCTAACTTCAAATGATACTACGGTATTCAACGTAATAAGCACCCCGCTCTAATAAGCGCCCACAGCAATATTTGCTAATATATTGGCTAGTGAACAATCCCAATTAGCACCCCTTCCGATTGATCAATGAACACTTATTTATTTGTTTATAATATGCACTCGTGTGTTATATGCACCCTTAATTATGGGCAATTAAATTCTGGAAAATATATCTGTCGTGTAAAATACGTACAGACCTTTCTTTTGTTTCTTTTCAGGCTGTCACCATAAATCACGAAATATATGATCTTTCAACTCTGTATTTTTTTCTCACCAAAATTATATTCTAATAAGAGCCCCCTATTTCTAATTTTGAGAGCGCCCTGGGCGCTTATTACGTCGAATACGGTAGTTGGAGTGGGAGAAGCATTATGAGTGAATCATATTTTTATAAGCCAGTAACAATCTTTTATCAACATCATGGTTGCATGAATGCTTGTGTCTTTCGCCCATATGTCGGAGGTCAGCAGTGGTTGTAAGATGCAGAGAATTAGGGCTCAAAGGCACTTGCCCATTCAAACACGGGTACCCTGAGGCACTTAAGTCCACCCCATTTCCTTTTATCACCTAAAATGGCCCGCAGAAAAATCTGCCATACAAGGATCTAGACATACTAAGAGGCAACACTTTTGTATCATGGTCGCCCTAACTCTGACAGCAGTGTCCACATATTGTATCATGTACCATATCTCAACCCTTGTGTATCATGTATCATATTGAATCATTTGTGTATCACGTCTGCCAACCTCTGACAGCAGTGTCCATGTATTGGATAATGTACCACCACACTGGTGTACAATGTACCATATCACAACTCTTGTATATCATGTACCACATCACAACCCTTTTGTATCATATGATATACCATGTCATGACCCTTGTGTATCATGTACCATATCACAATCCTTGTGTATCATGTACCATATCACGACCCTTGTTTCATGTACCATATCACAACACTTGTGTATCATGTACCATACCACAACTCTTGTATATCATGTACCACATCCTGACACTTGTGTATCATGTACCATATACTGACACTTGTGTATCGTATACCATATCACAACACTTGTGTATCACGTACCATATCCTGACACCACGACACTTATGTATCATGTACCATATCATAACACTTGTGTATTATGTTCCATATCCTGACACTTGTGTATCATATTAACCTACCTCTAACAACAGTGTCCATGTCTTCCTTCTGTTTAATGAGCTGCAGGTGAATCTCATTGTTCTCCCGCACCAGCTTGGCGTTGTCCATCTTGTACGGCTCCACAGCACCATCAACCTCTTTCGTCTCATTTTGACGTTTGCCAAGTTCCAATTTTGCCGTCTTCAAACTTTCTGTTGTGTGAATAAGATCTGCAAACAGTTTCTCCACAAGTGGGAGTGATTCAATGCCCAGACTTTGCCGGTATCCCAACTGATCCAGTCGGCGTCGAACATTTGTAAACTTCTGCTGCGCCTGAGCAGATGCAGTGGCAGCCATCGTTGTGCCCTCTCCTGCCTGACGTGGAAAAGTAAAACATGATCAGTTACAAATATATTCAGATTCTTAACAAATTCTCATGCCTGTCTGTGAAATAAGATAAACTGTTCCATACAAACCACAATAATAAAAACAAAATATTGGTGCCGCAGTTTGTGCCAAATGTTTTTGCGTCTACTAGTCTGAACTAGCCTAATGTTCAGTAAATAATGTTATTTTTTTACTATTACTTGCAGTTACAAAACCTAACAGAATTTACTAGACTCACTCATTTTACTAGACTGGTCGGTAAAGTCGCAGAGTGGTGTCATTTTTGTTTCTGACAGGTAAGAATTGAGGTGAGGTGGGGTGAATTGGTTTAACGTTGCATTCAAAATAATTGAACTCATAGCGACATGCAGACATTTTTCTTGTCTGGACTAATGCCAGTTTTATAGTGCCAGCCAAATGAGATACCAGGATGCAGTTTAACATGGATACCCTACACAGAAACAGTATACTGAATCCCTGACAACAAGTCCTTGCTTAGAGACCTTAATGTCGAGTGCCAGGCAGGGTAACAACAAGCACCATCTTTTGGTATGACGAGGACGAGGTACTCCGAGCAGAAGCTCTATCCACTTGAAGTTGAACACAGTGGAGTTCGGTAAGAAGTGAATATGCAGTCCTCAAATTTAGCCACTAGCTTAGCTCATATTAGTCCATGTGGTAACACTAAAGTCTGCTGAAAGTGATGTCAAGAGCCATGTTTGGGCAAACAGACTATAAACCTTTTTGGCACCGACTGAACATATAGGTTAATATAATTGTTCTTATTTAAAAATACCCCAGTCTTTTGGAAGCCATGAAGGCCACAGAAGTTCCAATCCTACTCAACGTTAACACAAGTTTGATCAATACTGGTTGTGATCAAATCATTCTGTCAATTAAAAGAATGGTGTAACTAAGCAGAACTATTTCAAGCAACAGCACAAATTTATTTTGTTTGTGGTGATTGGTTGAAATCCCAGATTGTCTTTTTTACTTTTCATATGGCTAATTTCCATGCATACGGTAACAAAAATGAAATGTGGAAAAATTGTTAGCAGAATCATTGTTTACTTGGGAACTAGATCTAGGCTAAATGGCAGTGGTAAACAATCTATTGGCATGATTGGGGCCTGCAAGTTATTAAAATGACTACCATACAATCAAACAGAATATGCAAATGATAAGGGGAATTATGAGTGGATCTTGTATTAGTGTGATATGATCTCAAATAAGTATTAGCCTTGTCCACCATGTCCACGTTTGCGTAGATTGGTATCAACTAGATCGACACAAGGCAACAGTTGTTTGAAGAAATCTCTGATTCTCCATCAGGCCTATAATATTTAAAAGAAAAGGTTTACTCTTGACTGTCACCCAAATTGGATATGTAAGACTTATTAGCTCAGCTACCTATTGCAAAAAAACTGTTGCCTACTGAGAACATCTGCTCATCAGCTGATTATCTGTGGCTAGCGTAACACTAAGTCTACACAACGTACACTTGCGATAGTTTTCATACATCAAGTCATAGTCTCATACATCTAAAGTCCGCACCATCTACTTACTCGATTCAATATGTGCTACGGTTAGAAAATCACGCACATGACATCAAAACAACATATCCTATCGATCTAGAAATTGTCTGTCAGACTCATCCATGTTTGACATTTTGACAGAAACTTCATCATCAAACACTTTCTTATAAATCAAATGTCATTATAGTCCTATCAATCTACTAATTATACAGTACCTCTGCGAACAGAGATGAAGTCAAAAGATGTTGATATTTTCAATGTGCTCCGGTATATTTAGCCATATGATGTTTCACAAAGGCATGTCACAACAAGCCCTGGTAGCATTTGAAAATGGCGCAAGCCTGACCTGTCGGAAGGAACAAAGATTAGAGTTATCTCCCTTACGCAAATCGGCTTTGAGAAAATTATAAATATTATTAGCCAGCATTATTTCAGCCACTACGTGACAAGCACATTAATAACATATCACAACCTGTTCACATTGGACAACACATCAGTTAGATTATTTCGGACTTGTTTTTAAAAATACTTGTATGAGAGCATTAAAACATTTAGACTGGTTCATGATATCAGAGGGTGCAAAACCCGACTATAGATCACCATCAACCACAATTTATATCACCATACTAGGGACCATTAGGACTTAACGGCACCTCTGCCATCTGCACGGTATCCAAGCAGGATTTACACCATCCCTTTAACTGCTGGTGATTGTTGACAAGTTAAGCTGGGAATAAACCGGGCAAATTATAGTATATGTTTGACAATGGCTAAAATGAAACAAGAAATGGTTATTCGATGGTTGTGTATTTGATGCGGGGTATCATAGTTGTGTTTCGTAGCTTAGACTGCAGCGTTTTGTAGACGTAACGTTTGTAATATTTGGGTCAAATCCATTATTGCAAGTGTATGCTTTATTTTGCCCGACGGTTTATGTACAACATAACATATTTTAGGAATATAGGAATATAAGTACTTAGGATGACGTGGCCTTACGTGTGGACACCGTTTTGTGACATCAAGGAGCACGAGCATGGTGCCAACAAACCATGGGTATGTGAAAACGTTCTTAATATATCAGTCACGGCCATACCTTTTGTAATACAGATGTCTGTCACATTCCACTATAGTTTTCTCTTCACAATGACATTTAAAATACATCATCGTGCACATCATCGTGTACATCGGCCCCAGTTGGGTGGAGACTTCATCAACTTGAATGTGATTATGTTGCAGTTCTGTTCACTGAAACACAAGGGGCTGTCGGGTAGCCTAGTGGTTAAAGCGTTCGCTCGTCCCGCCGAAGACCCAGGTTCGATTCCCGACATGGGTACAATGTGTGAAGTCCATTTCACTCACTCACTCCCACCCACCCACTCACCCACCCACCCACCCACTCACTCACTCACTCACTCACTCTCACTCACTGAAACACAAACGATTATAGCTAACTTCTGTTGGTTGACCATGCAGGACAGATTTAAAACGGTTTGGAGAGAAATACTCAACCGGAGCTGTACAGGAAAAGTAATGGCACTTTAGTTTAAGGATGCCAGCTCTTAGAATGCGATTCTTCAGTCAGCTTCTTGGGGTATTTCCCAGACTTTACTGTTTGAAGCAGCTAGAATCTTTGGCGATGATAAAGTTGGACTTTGGGACATAATTTTGAACTTTGTCAATTTGTTTGAATTGTAATTTTATGTTTTAATTTAAAGTGACATGTGATGCATATACATGGAGCCTGTTTATGCAAAGTATAAAATATATTTTAACACGCCTTGAAGTCCAGCATTTCTAGAAGACATTTCTCTACAATAACCATGAAAACGAGACGGTGACATTTCTTCCGAGAAACCACTTATCGCATGCAGTCCTGACTATATTTTACACCAGCTTCAGTGACTATTGACGCAAACCGAAAAATAGGATTTTACGCCGCTTTAAGTAATATTCCAGCCATATCACTGAAGGGAACACCAGAATGGGGCTTCACATATTGAAAACATGTGGGGAATTGAACCTGGGCCTTCGGCGTGACGAACGAATGCTTTAACCTTCACACTACCTTCTGAAATATTGTACATAATATGTATGTGTATGTACTGGTCGTATGCTTTAACGCATCTCTTATTCTACATAGACCTCGGGGGCACGGGTGGCCCAGTCGTCTGAGGCGCCGCGAATCGCTGTGCAGAGAAACCAGAAACCTATTATTGTGGGTTCGAATCCCGGTTCGCCCCAATTATGTTTCTATGTTTGTCAGCACCATACCCGTGCTCGTTGGTTTCACTGAAGTGGTAAACGTCTGAGACATGCATCACTTCGGGCTTTTACTCCCACTTTAAGCTGACGCGCCGTGATATAACTGGAATACTGTTAAAAGCGGCGTTGCAGGGTCTGCCTAATGCCCCAAAGGACGATCAGATATTTATGCTTCAAGCAGAGCCCGGTATGTGGTGGTGATTCGGGCCAGTGAGGGTTACATCCGTTATTGCCTTTAGCATAGATGTCTTATGATATTGGAAATTGGTTTACGTCACTTTTATTTTGGATCTGACTGTTCTGGCGCACGTTGTGCGGCGTGCTACGTCCGTAGTGAACTTCTCCTCAGAAACCACAGGACCACTGAAGCTGAAACTTCCCATACTTGTTCCCACCAATGATGACATTCCACATTTCTTCAAGAAGTTCAAATTCGATTTTAAATTGAAACCGACATTTATCGCAATTACTCAGCCATTTTGGTTCAAAATGTAATGACATTTGGTCGATGTGTAGATAGTAGTTAGACTCAACACGTATGTTCCGTTTTTAGATATTTAAAATTTTGATCTTGATTTGACCTTTACGTTTTGACTATGCTAAAGGCTGAAACCTCTTATGGCCACTACGCAGCCATGTTTGTTCAAGAAGTAATGCAATTTGGTACACGAGTAGTTACTGGTGGGGTTAAATATACATGTTCCGATTTTCGCGATATTTTATTTCTTGACTGTGATTTGACCTTTACACTTTGACCCTGCTCATCAATTCTCTTCCAATACTAAGCCATTTTTGTTAAAAAAGTAATGACATTTGGCAGATGTGTAGTAAGAAGTAGGTCTAAATATATTTTCCGTTTTTTTGTGTGCAATATTTTAAATTTGACCTTGTTATGACCACGCACTTGTATTCTCCAAAAAAGCATATTAGACTCTGTAAATTTTATCTCCTTTGGAATTGAAAAGTTTAACTTGGACATGTTACCTTCATTTTGTATTGATATATATTTTGTTCAAGTCATTAGGTTTTAGTGTTAGTTTTCAGTCCTGAGTATTTATACAGAAAATACCTCAATATTAGAGCTTTTGCTCTGTGGCCATCTTTGTTGACATTTCAATCTGTTGACTATATGTGGAGGTGAGCCACTGTGTTGTGGTACAATTGTTGTTGTTTGTATGAAGACTTTTCGGTGTAAATTCTCACACAGTTGTCATAATATAATTAAGGCAGCACGGGATGCACACATTTTATACAATAACTAAATTTATCAGTATCATAAATCTAGGATGTGAGTTATTAGTTCCTTTCTGATATGTTTATGTTTCCAGGGTTGGCAGGGTCTTCTGATTGGCTGGTGAAGACAAGATGATGAAGCCGAATTGAGCGTTGAACATCCTTTATAATGATCAACGCTCAATACAGTTATTTACCTCTCCAAACTAGATCCATAATTTCTCTCTCACACTCACCCAGACTCTCTACTTGCTAGGGGTTTGGAATTTAAGTTTTTTTCTGGAGTTATCCACTCCCCGATATTGTCACATTCAAAAGTATAATTTTTCAAATTGTCGCCAAGAGCACGCCATTTGTCCTTACTACATCAATGGATACCCAGTCAGAGCTTCACAATTCCAAGTATAAAAGGTTATTTGTTATTCGAGTTAAATCTGTTTGCCGCTGTTGGAATACAACCACCACATCAAGACGTGTCATAACACATATACTCACCAGCAATGTGTGACGTATATAATACAGTATTTCCTCTGATAAGCGCGCGGAGTTTATTCTTTGACTAAAATGACAAATCCGGGTAATGGAGGCGCGGTGGTAATTTGTGATACTTAATATTTCAACTACGGCGTTGCATATGCTACAGTCACAAATAAATTGACGTAAAATATAATTTTTATGTTCTTGAGAGACCGAGCGTGAACTTAGTAACATGAAACTGCAACAAAAGCAGTTTGTGTGAACTATAACATACACTGCGACCCCCGTGCTCCTTCGTGCTCAACGCTTAATGGAGGCCAGTGACAATAAGAAGTCCGACGCTTATTAGAGGAAATATGTCGGACCATCCTTTATTAGCACACCTCAGGTATAGGATATACTCAAGCTGTGTGTATAGCTGAGATACATTAAAAATGGTATTTATGGTTTAATCACACGCATGGTCATATCTAATAATTATACCTAGGTGTTGCCTTAAATTGGTAGCATAATTTCTCTACCGTGCTATTCATGATCCTGAAGGATTGTCGCTTATCTCGTCGAGTTAGACTGTATTAAGTCTCCTGTGGGCGGTCAGTTATGTCGGAGCAAAGTTCTAAATGGTGAGGTGAGGTGAAATGGGGTTTAACATTGCGTCCAAAATTATTGCACTTATATAGCGACGTGTACACACGTGTGTGTGTGGCTGCTTGGACTAGTCCGGACTAATGCCGATTTTATAGTCCTAGCCCACAAAGATACCATGCCGTAGTTTAACATGAATACCCCATTCAGACACAGTATACTGACTCCGAGCCGACTAGTCCATAATGCCGAGCGCCAGGCAGGGTAACAACAAGTACCATCTTTTAACGTCTTTTGGTATGACGCGGCCGGGGATCGAAACCCGGACTTTGCCATCTCCGGGCGGACGCTCTACCACTAGACAACGGAGGCAGTCAAAAGTCCTGACTGATAGTTGTAGACGTTTACTGCCTGTGATGAACCCCATTAAAACTGATATGGTTAAGCAAATTAAGCAAGCAAGTATAATATTCGGGTCTAGTTTGGATTTGAACTCACAACCACAGTATCCGTGGCGATCCGGGGTAGACTAGGTCTTCCGGAACCCATGCTTGCCGTAAAAGGCGACTATATATGTTTGTCGTAAGAGTAGACTAACGGGGTCGGGTGGTCAGGCTCGCTGACTTGGTTGATGCATGTCATCGTATCGTGGATCGATGCTCATGATGTCAATCACTGGATTGTCTGGTCCAGAGTCGATTATTTACAGATCGCCATCATGTAGCTGGAGTATTGCTGAGAGCGGCGTTAATCAACCAACCAACCAACCAACCAACAACAACACAAGCACAGGGTCATGAGCAGCTGAGGGGTTGCCATGGAAACGAACACCAGCAACTTATTGGTGGCGGCGGGTAGTCAGGGGAGATGCTGCGATGTCAGATTTCTGGTTTCTGGAATGTTGTCACCCGTCAGGCGGCAACGATCATCGATAGATAACACCAGCTCCACTATATTCAGGATAGCTTCAGAAGAAGTTACAACATATATACGCATCCTGTTATCAACTGAACTGAATTCACACATTAAAAGAGCTAGGATAGTGTTTCAGGGATTATTATCAAATTGGAAAAGAGTGGAGGATGATACTTAGTAAATGTTGCTACAAAATAAATGTAAATAATTAATGTGACGGTGGTCTGAATGTCAAACTGGTCAGGATGTGGTGACACAGTGGTCTGTGTGTCAAACTGGTGAGGGTGGTGTAACACAATGGTCTGTGTGTCACACTGGTGAGTGTGGTGTAACACAGTGGTCTGTGTGTCAAACTGGTGAGGGCGGGGTGACCCAGTGGTCTGTGTGTTTCACTGATGAGAGTGGAGTAACACAGTGGTCTGTGTGTCACACTGGTGAGGGTGGGGTGACACAGTGGTCTGTGTGTCAAACTGGTGAGGGTGAGCTGACCCAGTGGTCCGTGTGTCACACTGGTGAGGGTGGGGTGACCCAGTGGTCTGTGTGTCACACTGGTGAGGGTGAGCTGACACAGTGGTCCGTGTGTCACACTGGGGAGGGTGGGGTGACACAGTGGTCTGTGTGTCAAACTGGTGAGGGTAAGCTGACACAGTGGTCCGTGTGTCCAACTGTATCTGTGACGGCGGTGATTTTATGCCTCGCTAACGCTTGTCACGTCTTACAAACAAACGTACATTTTCCCAAGAACTGCCCTGATGAAAACGTCGGCTGAAAGCACATATCTCGTGATTGGTATCAGCGTGAAACGACCAGGTGATGGTCAGGTGTTGGATTACACCCATTAGCAACGGTCGATACTCGGTGTTTGACATCTAGCCTTGCTGGTTGTATTGTGGTAGTAGGGTCGTTGTATGGACGTGGTGAGTGAGTGACAGGTGTTTTGCAATATCAGAGCGGGAGGCACCAAGTGTAGATTGCACAATTGTGCATTTACATTTGATTAAAGGTCCGTATCACCGGCTTGAAGATAAGAACGATGGATCGACGGAGGGCTAACTTTCTAAAGTTTTTCGAGGATTACGGAACTTCTAGAGAGACAAAAACAGATAAGGAAACAACTTTATCAGTCTAAACACCGTTCTATCGATAAAAGAAATCAGTTAGCTTACTCGCTCAGCCTGTGTATGTCAATATACCAAATGAATATATAGAGACTTAAAACTAACAGTTATCGATAAAAACGATGCTAAGCACTCAATCAGCAGGGGACTGCAGTATCAGATTTCATGACTGACAGGTGGTATTCCGGGAAATCAATACATATGTAATAAATTGTGCTCGATTCCATTGTAAGTATATCGAACAAGATAAAAGCATATACATATCTTCGTCACACACACACCTGCAATTAGTATAGAGTCGTGATTAAAATTGTAAACATGAATAATATGGATTTATTAAAGTGGAAGTAGAATCTACTGACGAGATACATATTTGATCATTATCTACTCTTCTGGGCGTGACAGGTGCGCTGCACAATGTGGGAGAAAGCAGCTTGCCTATGACACCCAAGTGGGCGGATAACAGCTGCTTGCACGGACTGCGTCAGGCGTGTCTGTCATTCATCTGTATATTTCGTACAGACTGACTTTTATAGCTACTTCGTGTTTCATATTTTACTGTGATTTAATTTGCTACTTATTCCTCTCGGGACACATTATAACTTAGTTATTTGAGCGACATTTGCGAGAGACATCTTGGTTCTACAAATAATGAATTTAGAGAGAGAATGATCCTATCAGTTTATTTTTATAATACAAAGAAAACGATGCGATTTATAATGGCGCTTTTAAATAAAACCGAACTCGGATGTGTCGAATTCCTGGTTGCGTCAGTCCTGTCTAGGCTCGGTTGGATACCACGGTTAAGTCGAACTTTTCTCTATGGGTTCGAGACAACAGTGTTCGACTGTATTGTACATATAATAATATAATATAATGTTTATATGGGCATGGTGTATCATTTGTTTTTGTACATTCTCTTAAATATCTAGAATGTATACTCCAGTTGTGTTAGATGTTGTAATTATGGGGAGAAGTATGTATAATGACATTTTCCTGTCTGTTACTACGCCCCTTCCTTGCAGTTAATATTTGGGGAATTAATATTGTTTAAATCCAGGAAGCGGACATGTATAGAACGTTAATGTATGGTCTTCTGTTGAAATCGATGAAAGTTAATGGCGGTAAGTTAGGACCGATGTTAGGAATATTCATCTGGAATAAATAAGTGTCTGGTCCTTGTTCCAGAAAGCGATCGTATGGCTAAGATGATCGTAACTCCTATATATGCTTTAAAACAGCCTTAAGGCAGTCGTAGCGCTAATCGCTCCCTCTGTGTCACGTGGCCCTAACAGATTAACACACTCTATATATAAGATTGTAAATTGTACCTGAAAATACAGTTCTACGGCAATAAGTTGACGAAATGTAGCCAATATTCCAGTCCAAGTATTGTCATACTATCAAAGACCAAATAGTTGATATTTTTATGTGTTATATGCGGTATGTTGTAAATAGATTATATCATCTGTGAATTCCTTTGATGTTGAGTTATCTTTTAGTATCGTGAAAGCGTCACTCAGTACTCATGTATTCACCGAACCTTAACGATTAGTGTAGCCGTTTTGTGACATAATGTGCACTAAGTGATAAAAGCATGAAACTTGTCACAGTTGTATGTAATGACATTCCAAATAATTTCAGATATGGGGCCGCCCCATCAATCCAATATGGCCGCCATGGCGGAAAGAAATTCTATTTTATCTCGTATGAACATGACCCACAACCTAAATATATTATGAACATTTTGGAATGTATTTACCCAACACTACACAGTCTTTAAAGTAAATAACTATATTTTAGTTGACTATTTCTTTTGATTTAGGTGGTCCAAAGTTCAGCTTCCAGATTTCTTCCCAAACAGTGGCCAGCTTGAAATGCAGCTCTTTTGACATTTTGGTACAACGCAGCTGATGTAGGAGGAACAGAATGAATTGCTCTACCTTTCCTAGTGTATAAGTCTTTGTGTTCCTCGTCAACTCCTGTACAGAAACTGGTCCGAACATACATTAAGGGGGGCACGGGTGGCCCAGTCGTCTAAGGCGCCGCGATTCGCTGTGCAGAGTTGCGTCCCGTGGGCACGCCAGAAACCTATGATTGTGGGTTCGAATCCCGGTTCGCCCCGATTATGTTTCTAGGTTTGTCAGCTCCATACCCGTGCTCCTAGGTTTCACCGAAGTGGTAAATGTCTGAGACCTGCATCACTTCGGGCTTTCCTCCCACATTAAGCTGACATGCCGCGATATAACTGGAATACTGTTAAAGGCGGCGTTAAACCCAACTCACTCACTCACTCATACATTAAGTCCACACAAATCTGAATGACTGGCATCATGTCCTTCACATCCTGTTCAGTTGGTACATCACCAAGGAGATTGAAAGCCTCTGTTGCTTCATCATACACATTCCATGTTTCCCACCCTGTTTCTTCTCCATTTCCCTCAAATAAACATGTCTGGTCACAGCCAGTAATTGCAAGATAAGCTTGAAGTGAACAAGCTTTCTCTGGTTCGAGGAGTCTGACAAGGACATGAACAGCCAAATATCTGAATTGATTGCAAGTGCCAAACGCTTTGGACAAACAACGCAATGACCAGGACAATAACATCAGTAGTCCTGCACCATGACCGTGGAATATATTTATTTTATGAAAAAAACCATAATCTAGAAATGCATACAAAAGCAAGTCTAGCCAGCTCAAGCTAGCTCTATTTTATTTTTAGAGTCAAGAAGGATATTGTGTAATATAAGATTTCAGAGACTAAATGTTAGTCTATAACATCAGTATCAACCGTTCAAAACAAAATGCTATCTTTTCGCTGTCAGGCATCATTTGACACGTGGGCGAAAAGAGTCTTGTGTCAAGTTTCTTCATCTGAACATAGATGCAGATCATTGACAACATCTGCCCCTCTAGTTATCAGACACTCATAATCGCCGTCGAGCATGTAACAAATTGTGCAATTCATATCGGATTTAAGATTTTGAGATTCAATACAATACACGATCATCGAATTTATACAAACGCCATTATCTTCATTCTATGAAGAAGAATCACGGCACACCTCGCTGACTTCAGCTTCTCGGCTTCAGGCTATAATTAATGCTGATTTGCAAGAACCATTCATACGTAAATGTGATTTTCACCGTATCGGACCGTCATCGACATTGAGAAATTGTGCGTGTATGAATAAGATAATCATGTACTGTTTGATTGATCGACCGACGTTTACATGGACCTGATTTATACTTGCTTAGCCGCTGGAGCACAATATCTTTTTTTTATAATATCACAATATAACTTGATTAGTGTTGTAACGAAAAACGACTATATCACACATAATGTTGTGTTTTACCATTTTGCTTTAGTTCTCATTAATGTTACGCTCTTTCTGCACACGCTCGATCTGTTCAATAACTTCGCTATGAGCGAGTCAGCTGTCACCACTGTCCAAACGTTATAGCGCATATAACCTTGGGAGCCGTGGCAAGTCTAGGCGCGGCACGATCAAACGAAGTCTCCCAGATTCGTGTCAAACCGAGGCGCTGAGAGTAAACAATATGGCGAGCACCTTCCTAACGTGCTCTTACCAACAACAAAGTTCGATCACTGTCACGTGAATGTTTATCCTCAAAGTACAAATCGTGTCCTCAATCGCAACACATTTGAAGAATTTTTTAGTAATAGCAGGATAGTCTGACGGGTGCACCAGGTCAGCCGATCGAACGGGCACCGCTAGGGAGACTCTCTTCTTCTGTCACTGTCTCCCCGGGGCTAACTTCAGTACAACAGTCGAACTAGCACAGGACACGTTGCATTTGCTCGGGGTCTGCGGTTTAGGACGAGACAACAGTTGTTGTTTACAACGATGAGACGGAATACAGTCACTCTGATCAAATATATCCTGGGAGGAACCATCTTTTTCCTGGTCGGCCCCTTCACCCTGCGTTATCTGTTCGGGGGGAAAGGTGCACGTGAAGACTTTGTTGATGCTGATGTTAATCTGCCACACCCACACGAGGGGGAGAGACAAGCAGACGTGAGTGACGATTTTACATACAATACCACCGGTGTCATTACTGATTTCCATTTTAAAGTTATGGAAACTAACTAACAGTACATTGTGCAGTTAACAGCTGGGTATCAGCTTATTATTGTTGTTTTAATTATATTCTCTTAAACTATGTGAAATATTAACCAGAATCAATCTTATCTTGTCAATACAGAGTTTATGAGATACCAGCATTTAAAAAAAACCCCATACATTATTGAATGTTAACAAACTTTAAATTATCTTGAGGTACTTAATAAGGTATCCATTAAAATAACTTGAGCCAACTTGTTGTGGATTGCAGTTTAGATATTATACTTTGATATGTGGAGATTTATGTATTAGGTGGACTGCCCTTAGGCCTCTTGACCATAAAAAATAACAGGCATCCTGATCTTAGTGGAAATAAGCTGTGAAGATCCAGGTTCAGTAACCCAAAAGGCGACTAATGGGATCGGGTGGTCAGGCTTGTTGATTTGGTGGATGCATGTCATCGTATCCCAATTGCGTAGATTAATGCTCGTTATGATGATCACTGGATTGCCTGGTCCAGACTCGATTATTGCCAGGCCGCTGTGTTATAGATGGAATATTGGTGAGTGCGGTGTTAAACAACAAATACAGTTTATTTTGGGAAAACTATCTGGTCTGTTCATATAGCGCAGTTGGTTACGAGTGGCAGTTCTTGCTGTCTATTCATTTGGGGTACATTTGAAAAACAGAGTTCAGTATAATTACATGTTCAATTTATCAGAAATTTCCAGACAGAAATAAATGTAACCTGACTTCAAACAAGAGGGTAAAGACGCAGACGTCAGTGTCACTGGGCATCAGTGTACTGCTTCAAGCGACTGAACAAGTTTAGAGGTGTGCAGGAAATGTATGAAATGTTGGTTAGTTACACAGTAAACTGGGTGTCTCCTGATGATGTCACACCTATTCTAACCCGGATCTTCATGGGTCATTGAGTTATATATATTAACTGGAACACTGAATAATTACTGGTTTCTTTTAACCTTTAGCCCGCTGATGTTCTGTCATGAAACTAAACTCAGTTCAAAATTATCAGTTATCAATGGGACAGGTAGACTTAGAATATATACCACCCTGCAATAAGTATTACTGGTCATATCGACCGAGACAGTTTTCTGTCAAATCGATTAATTGGAACAGCACAAACTTCAGCTTTCTGTCTGATGAAGGTTAGGAGCACAGCATACCTACTTGCCTGGTAAACCATCGGGGATGGCTGACTGGAGGTTGATTTGCTGATCTTCAAGTTAGTCAACCAACTAAACATGCTGAACAGGTTTTTATGAACATCAAGTAAAAACATGTCAGGGAATGGAGATGGGTAGAAAGGACACGGGTCACAAGAAGAAACATTGTTAGGTCAAGCCTCGCTTTTCGGGACTCTTTCGTTTCCTCTAAGATTGCCCGGATAACAAATTTCAAGGGACCAGAGGCCAAAAATACTCTTTTATATGATGCATATGATTTTTCAAGTATAATGTGCTATAATTATTTTTTGAAATTCAGGCGAATGAACAGGTGATAAACTTGTTCACTTCAATTGTAAAACTTGTGATAAGCATCACTTGATGTGATGGTTAAATTGTGTTGCCTGGTCCGCTAGGCATTGTTTTAAATATGAAAGGATTACACCATGTGTATTTTCTCATAAACTAATCCGGAAATAGCAGCCAGGTGTACATACACTTTCTTCCCATCTACCAGTGATTTGGTTAAAAAATACCTGATTATATGACTTGATACAATGATTTTTTTCTCTTCTTTGTCCTCACACCTTACTTCATATCTACGCTGTGGTGGTTCTCTCCACTGGGCATTTGACATTCTTGGTTCATTCTTTATTAGTCATTAATAGCTGCAAGATTGATTGGAGTGCCAGTTTATTGAGATGCTCGTTAAACAGGTGGACAGTTTGTGTGATGTTGGTTAAAGAGGGTGTCAGTTTGTATGATGTTGGTCAAAGAGGGTGTCAGTTTGTGTGATATTGGTTAAAGAGGGTGTCAGTTTGTGCGATATTGGTTAAAGAGGGTGTCAGTTTGTGTGATATTGGTTAAAGAGGGTGTCAGTTTGTGCGATATTGGTTAAAGAGGGTGTCAGTTTGTGTGATATTGGTTAAAGAGGGTGTCAGTTTGTGCGATATTGGTTAAAGAGGGTGTCAGTTTGTGTGATGTCGGTTAAAGAGGGTGTCAATTTGTGCGATATTGGTTAACGAGGGCGTCAGTTTGTGCGATATTGGTTAAAGAGGGTGTCAGTTTGTGCGATATTGGTTAAAGAGGGTGTCAGTTTGTGTGATATTGGTTAAAGAGGGTGTCAGTTTGTGCGATATTGGTTAAAGAGGGTGTCAGTTTGTGAGATGTCGGTTAAAGAGGGTGTCAGTTTGTGTGATGTCGGTTAAAGAGGGTGTCAGTTTGTGTGATATTGGTTAAAGAGGGTGTCAGTTTGTGCGATATTGGTTAAAGAGGGCGTCAGTTTGTGCGATATTGGTTAAAGAGGGTGTCAGTTTGTGCGATATTGGTTAAAGAGGGTGTCAGTTTGTGTGATGTCGGTTAAAGAGGGTGTCAGTTTGTGTGATGTCGGTTAAAGAGGGTGTCAGTTTGTGTGATATTGGTTAAAGAGGGTGTCAGTTTGTGCGATATTGGTTAAAGAGGGCGTCAGTTTGTGCGATATTGGTTAAAGAGGGTGTCAGTTTGTGTGATGTCATTTAAATAGGTGGCCAGTGATTCGGTTAAAAAATACCTGATAATATAACTTGATGCAATGATTTTTTTTCTCTTGTCCTGAGCTTTATCCTTTTGTTAAGTTGTTGCTTTTAATATCTAATCACCAATCAGTAATATGATACAGCTGGCCCTTTGTGGAAGAATCTGTTATTATGTGCAGCCGATTATGTACTTTGGGAACAATAAAAATATAACTTTCCTGAATTAACAATACATTTATTGACCTTATCATCAATCAGCAAGCCTGATGCACCAGTTGATAAGTAACCCTTATATTGCATTATGGCATTAGCTGAGGCTTTGATGTTATCCTGGTTAGGCTTGAAAATATGAAGTTTCAGATGAGCGTCAACTGGATGTAATTGGCGTCTTTGACAGGAAGTCTCTACTATGTGATATGAACGACATATTTAACTAACATTTTACTTGTTTGACTTTGTTTTAGAGCCAATTATTATTGCCATTGATGCATATCAGGTTTTCCTATTGGCCACAAGACAAGGTTTGCTGTGTGACATGTGCAACATTGTTTAACAGCTGAGTGAAATAGCTGCTTGTTGATTTCAGTTGCATTTGACATGTGGACAGCTTTAGACTTGTTAGATTAGCAATGCTGACAGCCATTAAAGAGCCTATGTCAAGGCATGGTGTGGACAGATATGGTTGTGTTGTAATAGGAAGTAAAATGAATGTCAGTTTAAATGGGGACCATTTCAAAATGTTAATTGAAATTTATTTTACTGCAATTATTTTTTATTTTTTTTGTCTTCTTGTGTGAAAGGATATAGTTGTGTTGTGCATAATGGTAGTCAGTTTGAATGGGGACCATGTCAAAATTGAAAATTGAAATTTATTATACTGCAATTATTTTTTTTATCTTCTTGTGTGAAAGGATATAGTTGTGTTGTGCATAATGGAAGTCAGTTTGAATGGGGGACCATGTCAAAATTGAATTTTTTTAATACAACAATATACCTGATATACATGTACATATGATGTATGTCAACAATTTATTAAGTTATATTTCAGTAAGTTGTCAGTGAGGAGAGTGGAATCTTAGATGTGCTATGATAGTTGATACCCTAATCATGCCTTGATTATGATCCTCAGTTTGCCGGCACCATACTGGTGCTTGTTGGTTTCACCAAACTGATAAACATGTACGACCTGTGTCACTTTGGATTTCCCAGTGACATTAAGCTCATACTCTGGAATACAGCTCATTCACTCACTCTGCAGATACCTGTCAATAGCACCTGTCTACCTGTAGGGCCTGAGAGACAGCAACATGACAGGTAGATAGTGTGACATAATGGCTGATGGATGGCATCCTTCTCACCCCTTTCATTAATCAATTAGGCAGTTGTCTTCACACCTAACTTCTTGTCTATCCTGTGGTGTACTCTCTACTGTACCTTTGTCATCCTTGGTTCATTCTTGATTTGCCATTCATAGTTGCAAGATTGATTGGAGTGACAGCTTATTGAGATGCTGGTGAAATAGGTAGCCAGTTTGTAGTGATGATGGTTAAATAGAGTGCCAATTCGTGTGATATTGGTTAGATAGAGTGTCAGTTTTTGTGATGCTGGTTAAATATTATCATATTGTAGTGATTAGATATTTTAATGATTCAAAACTATGATCCTAAATATTTTCCAACTATTTTTTTGTTGTGGCCTACATATTTTTTTGACACTGGCTGGTGACACTGGTTGGTTGCACTGGCTGGTGACACTGGCTGGTGACACTGGCTGATGACACTGGTTGGTGACACTGGCTGGTGACACTGGCTGGTGACACTGGCTGATGACACTGGCTGGTGACACTGGTTGGTGACACTGGCTGGTGACACTGGCTGATGACACTGGCTGGTGACACTGGTTGGTGACACTGGCTGGTTACACTGCCTGGTGACACTGGTTGGTGACACTGCCTGGTTACACTGCCTGGTGACACTGGTTGGTGACACTGGCTGGTGACACTGGTTGGTGATCTGGGTTAGGACTGGTGTTAGGCAACCCATGCATGTCCACCGTGAAGATCTGGGCTAAGACTGGTCTCTGGCAACCGATACTTGTCTCCCGTGAAGATCAGGGTTAGAACTGGTCTTTGGCAACCTATACTCATCTCCCGTAAAGATCAGGGCCTTCGGCAACCTATACTTGTCTCCCATGAAGATCTGAGTTAGAACTGATCAATGTTCATGATATCAATCACTGGATTGTCTGGTCCAGA